TGGCCAGGCCTCCTCCTTCATAGAGATATGTCTCATATCTATTCTGTGTCATATTCAAGTAATTTTTTACATACTTACTAGATATTTTTAATAGAATTTTGAAATGCAGCTGAACAGTAATAGTCGGTGTGGGACGTATATCTATATCTCATGCAAAAGTCGATGTGTGATAGTTTTATACACGTATAACTGTATCTCACTTTGTACAATCGTGATAAAGCCCCTGAATCGATCGATGACCTATGGCTGCCTTTTTATTAGCTTTGTAAATATGTTTGGTGTTACTCTGCAGTCTGTTAATAGCACTGATTAAATATACTTTAAAAAGAAATAGAAATACTATATTTGTAATTTAACTTGTAAAATACAACCTGTTTAGGTACTGTGAGAAGAAATGTTCGGCAATTCGAACTTTTTAAGCAGAGATGTATTGTACAGTATTAAATGTATTGTAAACTTTTTAACGTTCGTTCAAATAAGTAAATAAATATTATTATACCGCTAACATGTAAGAGTTACAATTAATTTAATTAATAGACAAATTTTCTTTCTTCGCTATGAAGAAACATCAAACCTTAAAACTAATAATCTCTTAATCTCTCAAAATATTAGCTATTTCTTTACATTATATATTTATTATGATTGCCTTTTCCCTTATAAATCAATGCCACGGTAAAGATAGCAGATTTAATCTATTATCACAACTATTTAATCAAATTTAATACTAATATCGATGGTATTAAGTGTATTTTACTCTGACTTTCAGGTCTTCAGTCTTCTCGAACTTATTCATAGAGATTTGATCCTTATTTTCAACACGTAAAACGTTAGAATCACTTCTCTTCGATAATGAAAAGCTTTTATTCTGTACGTGGGACATACGTAAATCTTTCTTCAGGAACGGATGTGACTGTGTACAATGTTGCTCCATTTTAACACTTTTCTTAGTATTTTAGGTTTTATCCCCTTAAACGGAAATGTTTTTTTTTTATAAAATTTGCCCGTAGATCAATTGGGAACACAATCGCTTGGAATGGTCGAGGGTACGCGTCACGTCGAGTGCTTGAGAAATTTTTGTTTTTTCCTAATATGTTTAAAAGAGAAATGTTACTGATGCGGTGTTTTCAGTGTTGACATAAGAAAATTTAGGTGCCTACAACGAAACTATTATCGTGAAATATCACAATAAAAGTTTTAAAATATACTCCTTTAACATAATTCAGTTTCTACCACTTTACTAAAACTACTAAGTCCATGCAATTTACATATTGAGAATTAAGTGAGTAGAGCATTTTACTCTACCGTTCACAAAGCGGTCACGGAAACATATAAATATTGCCATAGAGGCATTTCTGGCTCCCCTCCATTGTTAGGTAGTGGTGATGAGAATTCACATGGAAAATTAATGATAATTCTTTCTGTTTTTTTTTCTGTCAAATAAATAGATGTGGATAATTTTTGTTATTAAAATAAGCAATACATTCATTATTAAGAGATCTACAAGGAAAACAAAATGAGAAGTATGATTTGTATATCAAATTAAAAAAAACAAGTTGTAACCTTCGTTAACAATATTTTAACCTCCGCGGTTTTAAGGCGTTATTGTATATAGTTATTTATATGTTTGTTTACTTAATATTACGATTAATAATAAATTAACAGATTAAAATAAAGCGATTTACGAAAACTATATAATATGAAAAATATTTCTATATAGTTATAGTTATAGAGAAATATTTTTTCATAACCAAATTATTATTTACCACAGAAGTCTCACTCATAATAAATATATTAATTAGCACTTACGTAACATACAACTAAGCTACTAGGTATTTAGAAATCTACATTTCGTTTAACTGAAACTCAAATAGAAGTAATATTATATTTAATATATGATTATTCTATCAAACGTCTAACGGGAACACAAAACATAATTTTATCAAGTATAAGTTCGTTGAAATCAATTGAAAAGGTGTACCGCTCAACGCAAATATTTGAGAAATGTTTAAAAATACATTAAAAGTGAGTCTCAACAACATCAAATATGGCTGCGTGCCTAAGTACCGAAATCAAAAATCAATAATGAGGACTTTCTTGTTGACAGTACGTGACTTTTCAGCAGACCCTTAAATGGTCTCGTATCGCTTTTATTTTGTCAGCGGTTTGTAATGGATGACGAGGCGATGGATGTTTAAATAAAGATTATTGTTAGAGCAACATGCATTACATTTCTAAGTTCTTTTTCAAGTCATTGTTCATTGCGATGAGCATTTCTGTGCAATCTTTGTGATTTGTTAAATAAGATGTTAGGATTTTTAAAAGAAAAAAACAGGTATATATAGTGTAACGAAATCTTAAATATGTTAATTGCTCTTCCTTCGTATGAGTTCTTTCTTTTAAATCCAATTTCAATAACAACCGAGGTCGAAACTTATTGCGCAGGTATTACTCATTCTACTTGTTCATAAAACTTTTTATGCGACCGACTTGATTATAACGTAAATATCACCCAATTTCTTAATAGGGATGACGACTGGGTAAAAAAAATACAATTCTATTCAGTCCATCAATCAGATAATAGAAAAATATTAGTTACATATTTTTTTTTACTTCAATTTAACAAGAAATAGCTTAGATAACAGGCATTAAAGTTGAAGAGTGAGGGCTCGCTACGTCATAGTTGAGTAGAAAACATACCATAACGTGACGTTATGCGAAATTTCAACTCCATGTAACGCCGTAATTTTATGATTACGAAAAAAATACCTGTTTAATATTTTTTAACACTCTACCTGACGGACAACCAAACAAAAATTTGTCATCATCACTATTCTCAATTCTCAATTTAAAGTTAAGCACGTCTCAAACCTTACTTAAACCATTATAAATTTAACTTTAACAGGTTTTAGTTTATGTTTATTTTTTTTAATGATTAGTCGATTGCAGCTTGATAAAACTCAGACTTTTTGTCAAGTGAAACTTAAAAAACTGAAGTAACTGAGAATAATCAGTTGAGATTTTGTTCTTTTCTGAATTCAGAAACCGGCCGTATATCTAGTAATTGTAATTCAAATAAAAAATGATTTATCAGATATAACTCCAAAAAATCACCAAAGGTCATACTCGTGCAGGTAGCATACCGACATAAAAACACAGACACTCGATATACATTTGCGGGTTATATATAGTACACAGCTGCACGTCAGATTTTCGACTTCTACCCAAATTCTACCTAAAAAATATTATGGTTTAAAAAAAGTGGAAAATTTTGACAATTTGAATAACTTGACGTGCTGTTGGCTGTACAAGACAACAGATTAAAAAAATATAATAAAATTCAGTGTGCCTACGTTTATATTATATGCTATTACAAACACTAACAAAAAATAAACAACAATTTAACCAAATTAAAGAGACCAATAAAAATTTCCATTCGATTTAAGCCAATTAGGCAATTGGCACCAACAGAATGCCCCCTCTAAAGAACCCACGATCCGTCGCGTTGACAGGTCTTCCCGCCAAAAGTGACAGATGCGTTCCGTTCCAACCAAAAGTTTATCGCGTTGCGCAAACAACACCAAATGTCACGGGGCCGATTCTAATTGATAATTATTATTGGCTTATAGATAGTGGTCGGGCGGCGCGTTTGTATTATAACTCTCTAACGCAATTTGATTCTGTTGATTGTTATTGTTAATACGAATGGAAATATTAATTAAAATAAATGGGGGGGACAAATTAGATAGAGCACACTCCACGTTATCTCTAACCGCTACAAATTTGTAGGCTATTTGGAAGAAATCTATACTCTGATTTTTAATTAGATAAACTAGTCTGACAGTTCAATTCACCTTTTTTTCTTTTTGTGATTTTTTCATTAATCTGTTCATTAATCATCATAATATGACTCATTGAATTTTTGTTTATCGAACCTCTAAAACCAATTTTTAATAATAATAATAAATTTTATTTCAGTGTTAGTAACTATAAGACTTAATTGTAATGTTAGTAAAAATAATAATTTATTTTAATAATAATATAACAAATTAATATAATAGTTCAAATTATTTAATTTACTTCAATTTTCAAATGATAATTCCACTACTCACTCACGTCCACTTTTCAAACAAACTTAAATTATTTTGATTTTAATTTTTATTATTACTTTTTGATTAATATTTATTAATTGATCATTTATATTCATTGAAACTAAAATGGATCAATTATGGATTTAAATATTTATTACTATCAAATGTATACTTATACTAAGACCGTAAAATGAGGGAGTGAGCGCTGGAGCCTGAGATTCAGGTTTAGAATATAAACCTCATTCAGGCACAGAAGCTACTCAATTGTAACATTGAGTTTAAACCTATGTATTTTTTTAATAAATATTATAAATATTGATTTAATAAAGTGCTGTATAAGGTTATTTTATTTATCTTTCTAATAAAAATATATATGTATTTTATTTTATACTTTATTATACACAAAACTTTCTCAGATAATAAACATTATTAGGAACTCATATAAAAAGGCGAGTTTAACTCACACGGATGAAGTGAGTTTTCTTCCAGCTAACCTTTGCATGATCATGAGAATTTAATAAGGGTAAAGTCTAAATGTGTACTATCTAACAAGGAAGGAGAGAAAATAAATACGAAAAAGAGAAGCAAGATCAACAGAATATTATTAAAATTCTATAAAGATGATTCTAAATCATGAAATTTATGAAAAATTATAAATAAGTAGGATTGGTTTTATTCTTCTTTATGTGAACTAAAGACAATCCAATTTTACTTCCGAATGCATATTACATGAAAATTACTAATTGCAAACAATGAAATATTTAATATAGATTTTTGAACTCTGAAGTTTTACCTACTTAATTATTTAAGTCCATATCTAAAAACTGCTTTGAAAAAACTTAAATTGACTTCTTTAGATCGCGAAGTGTTGAATTGATTATCGTTGGTATAAAAAACCTTTTTTTATCTCAGGTGCACCACATGCGTTACTGGGTAAGACCCGACGGCCACGGACAGCATTCACTTCCCAGCAGCTGTTGGAGTTGGAGAAACAATTCCGGATGAACAAGTACCTGTCTAGGCCGAAGAGGTTCGAAGTGGCCACCAGTCTAATGCTCACTGAAACGCAGGTAGGAATGAAATGGAAATCACATTATAAAAATGTAAACTAAGTAAAATTAACAACTACTTATAAGATTTTTACCTATGTAAACTACTTTTCTCGATGTAGTAGCTCGGTGGCGTGGTAATTAAGCGCCGCGGCCCGCGATCGTTGTTGTTAAGCAACTTTCGTAAGGGTCGGTTACGGGATGGGTGATGAGGGAAAAAGAAAATATTATCTCGAATTTCCCCGTGCTTCGGAAGCCACGTTAAGCCGTTGGTCCAGTCTGCGTTTGTAGTCGTTAATACCCTCGAATCCGTATTCGACCATCGTGGGGGTCATGAGCCATCCTCCTTAACCATATATAAGGGAGGCCTAGGCCCCTGCAGTGGGGATGTAAAAGAGCTGATGATGATAATAATGAAACTATGTTTTTGACAAATTAATTGTGATAGCTTGCGAGTATTTAATTAAAGACCATTTTTCCGCACAATTCGTCATCCTCTGTTCCTATTTAGATATAAAACAGTATATTTTGCCTTTTAACCCCCTGTTAACATTTTAATAGTGTTGCTTATGATCAAAAGCTGGGAACTACAAAGTAACAAATGTCAGCCATCAACTTTTCAAATGCAACCTCAAAAAACAACCTCTTTTTGACACTTGCGAAATGTCACAAAACACTTGTCACTATGAAGCATCCATGGGATTTACGTAACAAATCTGACAAGCTTTACGCATGACCAAAAAGAAAATTTCCAAATTGTAAAGAAAATGAACCTTATATTGTATACAAAATGGATGAATTGAGTGCAGAATTATGTTTGCCCCTTAAATGCGGGGACAAGATTACAGGGGCGGCAAAACGCTCGCTATAAAGATTATTGCTTGGGGCGTTTATACGGGTTTAAATATATTAATCTTTCTGTACCCTTACTTGTCGGTGTAAAGTAATTGAAAGTGGTTTTAGTGAATCGGAAGCTTTATGTTAAGGTTGAATGATCATTAGTTTCTTTGCCGAATTTAACTTTTTCATTTTGGCACCAAATATTTTAAAAGTGAATGTATTCTAGCTCGTTCTAGACGATTTTTAACATCATTATGGAAACTTATTAACCGCATTGTACCTAAAATCATATATTTATGTCTTTAAATATTTTTTTTTTTTGTCTTGGTATATTACTAATATCTGCAATTTTGTGATCCTACCTTAAAAACATATATTTCTGTACTTTTATATTTATATAAGTTTATAAAACTTTATAGCCGAGATTATGTAGTAAAAAGAAAATTTTTGTTTTGTCAACAGGTGAAAATATGGTTCCAAAATCGGCGAATGAAATGGAAACGTTCGAAAAAAGCACAACAAGACACCAAGAAGGACGCCCACGCCCATCCGACGGAAGAAAAAAACAAACCCAAAGACCTCCCACTGCCGCAACCGGAACCTGAAAAAAATATGGCCGCAGATTTGACAGCTGTCAAACCGCCCCCAATGTTGGACAGAGAGAGAATTATCGCACTAGAAAGGGAGCGAGCGATAGCCGCCGCCAATTTTAATTCTAATTTGGAAAACAATAGAAGAGGGTTGGTTGTAATGAGCCAAGATGGCAGCCGGCCGGGCATAGATATGTTTAGGCCGTATGTGGTATGAAAATAGAAGATTTTTTTATTGCAAATTCGTAACCCTTTTAGCCGTTGGTTTTTATTTGTTGTTATTTTGTTATATCAAAATTATTTACCTACCTATAAGTTTTTTAATCATAGGATTTTTCAAAATACACAAATGATAAAAAAACAATACCATTTATATTAATTGTTTAACTAGGAACTTCTGCAAAGGCAATCTACTTAATTATCTCGAACAAAACGTAATTTTGAGTTCCTATGTTATAAAAACCACATGACAAGTAGAGTGACCATAATTTTAATGTATAAAATGGAAATAATTATAAAATTATCTAATGCTTAAAGAAAAAATAACAAAACTATTAATTTCTGTTTTCTTTTAAAAGTTTTTTGTGTAAAAATTACGTGGTAATAAATTTAAATTAAGTGTAATTAATGGATACTTTAAGTAATTTATATGTAATAATAATAATGAAACACAAAAATGTATAATAATTAAAATTAAGTATACCAAGAACTGAGAGAGGCCAAATAACCAATGTTAATACTTTAGTAATAAGTTCGTGAAAGCTATTCCACCAATTTTTTTTAAGTTATCCTATAAAACAAAATAATACAGCAAAAAACCAAGTGAATAATACGAAAAAGCTTCTCATTGCAATTAAAAAGAAGCATTATTTTTAAATAATAATAGATAAGTCCTGTCGTAAGTTTTTGTTTTTGTTCGTATTTGTTACAAAAAGGCATCTTACAATCAGTATTACAAACTTTAGAATAAAAAAAGTGTTTATCTATAAATCGTAGGTATTTATTTCTTTATGTAATGTGAATTGTACCGATACCAACAAATAATATAACAGTTTATCCACATATAAAATATGGTTAAGAATCGATCATATTCTAAATGCAATCAAGATAATAACAGTCATTGTATCCAAACCATGAAGAAGAGTAAATTATTTGCACGATAATACAAACTTTTTAAAATCATTAACGCCCAGCCATAAGGCCCGATTAGTGTCTGCAAGATACTTGTTGGATGTGTATGTACACAAGTATCTTGGCAAATAGCAACAAACAGGCTTAACCTTCGAATAATGAGGCTAGGTGAGAATGGATACTGCATGGCATTGTATGAAATAAAACTGGAAAAAGTAGCTCTTGCTAAGGTTCTTGCCGATTCTTCTCAGACAAGATCTCCAGCTGTGGATTTGCGTATTGATGACATAGTTTTTGAATACCCATAAGTGCTTGTAATAGTAATAACTAAATAAATGTTTTTTTTTTTGTTTTTTTATATTTAGACTCGTTTTAGGTTTATTATTCGTGGCATGATAATATTACGTTTATTATATTAAAAATTACAGATATTTCCTATTCTATGTACAAAACTAAATATAGATGGAAGTAGACCTTTGTAAATAAAAATAATTTATAAAGCTACAATGAAGTGTCATGTAAAAAGTGTTTTTGTTTATTGTGAGTTATGGTTTAAATTTAAGTAACATGATATAACAAATGAAATGTGTATACTATAGTTTAAAGTAATTTGTAAGTGAAATAGATCTCTTAAGTGTTTAATTTATGTGCAGATTCACAAAATATAGTCACTATGTTAAATCATGGAGTTTTTTTATTATCAATAATGATTCATTGACCTCTCTATACCGATATGAAAAGAAAATAAAAAAGAAACAAAAACCGATTTCTAATTATAGAAAAAAAATATTATAACAGCAAGGGGGTGAATAAATTTAAGAAATTTCTTTTGAAGAACGGATTGCACTAATAACGCCTCCCGAGTGGTAAGCCTGCCGGTTTCAAAGTATCGTGATATATCTCTTGGGTTCAATTCCCACTCGGGTCAAACCCGCTGACCCCGCACTAGGGGGGAGCGGGTATGCGTAGCATTTCTCAGCGTAAAAAAATGGTCTATATTTTCTGAGCGCTTAGTGTAAGATTATTTTACGTTAACGTTCACCGTCGATCGTGAGCGCGTTAAGATTTTAGTATGGAATCCGGTACATCACCCCTAGCGGTAACTACCAAGAACTACAAATCTCCATACAAATTAATAACACGCTCATAAGTGAACGCATTAACGTAAAATTTATACTTACCACTCAGGCGCAAACGACGCCGTCGTTGCCTCAAATACTTCAATAATACGGGGGCTTTAACTATTCATCTTGGTAACTGAGCAACGTATATGACATTATCTAATATTGATTTATATAAAAAAAAACCCTATAACATCCTTGAGATACAAAGCCATAAAACATTCATAAATCGCTATACCGTGAAAATTTTAATAATAACGGAATTAATTAGTTGTTATTGCAATCATTGCCTTTTTACCCGACTACGCGACGCAAAGGAGGGTAATGTTATCAGAGTATGTATGTATGTATGTTTGTTTATATGTGGCGTTCTAGAGTCCAAATGCTTAGGCCGATTTTGATGATTCTTACGTCAATCGATTCGTCTTAACCTTGCGAGTGTCACTAAAGACATGACAGTAATCAAAATTCGCCACATCGCCAACCAGACGCCATATAGTCTAAATGAAAAAAAATCGATTTTAAAAACATCTTTAGGTTCCTTTTATCATTTTTATTTTTAATAATAGTTTGGGATATATAACGACTTAAAGTTGTTTAACAAAACAATAATTCTCGCTAATTTTCTTACTTATTGATTTAAGTTTTTATTTAAAGTATAAACGATATACAAACAAAAAAAACAGTGAAAAAGCATGAAGAACACATATTTTTGGTAAAAAAAATAACTTTTATTCATCGCCAAGTCACCGAGTAAAAAAAAGTTTACCGCTAATCTCGATAAAAATAAATAATTGAAAGGAAAAAAAACCGACTGCGTAAAAACGAATTTTAAAAAATATATGAAAAAATTAACCTCAATAGAAACTAAAAAGAAAGAAACAAGCCCAGTAGTTTAGAATTTTGTTAAGTAATACTAAATAACTGCACAATTGAAATAGTTTTATAATCGATACACACATATGCGTGCGTTCTATGCGGTCATTCGTGACAACAGGAAATTGCGCGGTATAGTTCCAAGTACTAAGCAATTATATGAAATATTAAAATGTTAATGAAATATTTAAAAAAATCACACAGATACCCAAGATTCTGGATTCATCAAATCACATCTCAGGGCACCCCGGGGCTGGTGAATTTTTTAAAGCAATTTATTGAAGAAAACTATCGGTATGGCATTCTGAATGCAAAATTTATCAAATATAATAAAAGGGCTTCTAAATGGACAATATATTCGGCAATTAGCGGCTGCGACTGCCAGGCTGCGACACTTGATTCTAACGAAAATTAACACTTTAATGCTTAATAAATCACAAACGGTTTACTAAAGCGAAAAACGGCCGTCGATACCCCCAATGTTTTTGAAAGACCTATCCAAACCAAAAAAAAATATCATCCCCACTTTACATGTAGGGGAGGTAACATATATTTTTTTTATTATATTCAATCAATTTTGCATCAACAATGCTATACTGAAAAATATTCTTAATGAAAAATATTTAAAAATCCACTTTATCCCTGGTACTCTGAGACGGGACTCAAACCCATGACCTTTCGCAATCCGGGCGACTGCTCTAACTACTGAGCTACCCAGGACCTAACAAGACTAACGAATTTTTCAAGCACTTGTTACTTTTTCGCAACTACAGTGCATATTTTCATCATTGTTCAGGCAATCCACCCAAACAGGCGAAAGAAATATATTAACAAATATTTAATCTGTTGATACTGTATCATTAAAAAAACATAAACAACACAAAATATGTTTTTTCGCATTACATAATCATAATAAAAACATACTTTTTAATGTTCAAATATTTATTCATTACTGTTTATAGCTGTAGAGATGTCAGTCACATACTTTTAACGTAACTAACAGTGAATAACTGGTCTGGAATAGATCGCTTACTGCTAGCAGTAGTCAATTAAGGGGGCGGCTGCTTGACTAAGATGACCATGACCATCTTTTTAACAAATGCAATATAATACATAATTCTTGAACTTAAGATATTCTTGCCATCTTAAAACGTTATTTCTTCTTTGTCACTTTTCTGATTATTATATTTCTCAATTATTATGTTACTTGTTATGTTTATATTATACAATATTAAGTCTTTTTATTATTTGTGTTAAAAATCATAATGTAATTGAAAGTTACCTCTCAATCTAATAAAGTCAGTTGTTTGTTAGACGTAATTAATTAAGATTATTATAATGTGCCATATAATTTTATGTAAAATCTTGACAGAGCGCCATCTATTTCCATTTTTTATTTTGAACTACTCTTTGACTGTCATGAATTCATGACTCCCTGTGATACTGTGTAAAAGTTAGTTGTCTGAAATTTATCTTGTTAGATAATCAATTGCTACATTTTAATAGAAAATCCAACATTTCTTACTACCTCACAGTCACCCTACACATTTTCTCGAATATATATTGCCATGAAAAACTCACTTCATTCTGTATTCTCGACGGCATTCGACGGAAAGAGATGTAGGTATCGCCGTTCTCTTCCCACTTTCTTGAGGAGACGAAAATGTTCCGTATCTATAGTTAAGGATAGTCTATTATTAAGAGTTAGTATCTTATTAATATTCAATTACTAAAACAAGAGTCTAACATAGTGGTAGGGCTCAGGTTTAAAATTCTGCTTGTAAAATATTTAAATGCCACACATTCGTTTTCCGTGATCGGATTTCTGACAAGGAATTCCAATTTGGTGACCTAAACGCGAACCTTTCCTACAAAGTGTACAGCAGCTTGTACACACGGTATCACTTTCTACTACTATTTCTCATATTATTTGTACGTGCATGGATGTGTCAATAAATATCTTTCTTTGTTTTTCAGTTTGGAAAAAACGATAACAATTATATGAAAGGTACGCGTTTAGTGGTGCGGCCACCTAACCGTCTAGCCACAGAATTCGATATGTTAGCGAATATTATGACAATATTTTAAT